TAGCCGTCACCGTCACCAGGGCCAGCACCACCATCAGCAGCATAATCATCACCATAATCAGAAGCAACGTCGTCAACACCACCATCCTCCTCACCACCATCATAATCAAACTCATCACAACCATGGCCATCACCACCAGCGACATTACCATAACCACCACCAGCATCAGCATCATCAGCGCCATCGGCATCATCATCAGCATCAGCATCCTCGTCGTCATCAGCATCATCATCAGCATCATCGTCGCCGTAACCATCAGCACCAACAGCAAATTCAGTAGCATCATCATCAGCATCCTCAGTATGTTCGAAAGCATCACCATCATCAGCATCATCATCATCATCATCATCATCATCATCATCATCATCGTCCGCATCATCCTTATCATCATCATCACCATCAGCAGCACAACCAACGCGTTCGTCATCATCATACGCATCATCGTCATCGCCACCATCACCATCACCATCAGCATCATCATCATAATCAGAATCAACATCATCAACATTCACAGCATACCCATCCTCCTGCCGTGGGGCATCCCCAACCGCTTCCTCCTTCTCATCCGCCTTCTCCTCATTATCGCCATCAGCAACCTTATCAGCATCATCGCCATCATCACCAACACAAGCGTCATTGGCATCAGCATCGGCATCAGCATCGGCATCATCATCATCAGCAGCATCAGCATCGTCAGCAGCATCATCATCATCATTACCATCAGCAGCATCAGACTCTTCATCCTCACCATCAGCAGCATCATCAACCTCGTCATCATCATCGCCATCATCACAAGCACGATCCGCGTCATCATCAGCGTTACCAGCACCAGCCCCATCATCATTGTCACCAGCACCGTGACCAGGCCCATCATAGTCAGCAGAATCGTCAGCATCATCATCAGCATCATCATCAGCATCATCATCAGCAGCAGCGTCAGCACCAGCATCATCAGCAGCACCATCTTCTTCATCATCATCAGAATCGAAGTCATCACCACCGTCGTCATATCCACCACCACCACCAATAACATCCTCACAAGCATCGGCGTCACCACCACCACCGTCAGCATCACTATCATCACCACCATCACCACCATCAACAGCAACATCACCATCATGAGCAACGTCATCATCATTACCATCACCAACAAACCATCAAACACCAGGCGCATCCTCTTCCTCATCTTCCTACGTCTCCTCTGACGCCTCCTCACCCGCTTCCCCCTCCTCCGCATCACGCTCCTCATCCACTTCCCCCATCCCCCTTCATGATCAGCTTCCTCGTTTTCCTCCACTGCAGCATCATGTGCACCACCAACATCATCAACAGCAGCAGCATCGTCTTCATCGTCAGCAGCATCATCAGCGTCATCAGCATCATCAGCCTCATCATCATCGTCATCATCATTGTCATACTCTTCATCACTTTCATAGGCGAGGACGTCACAAGCATCGTCATCAACACCACCGTCAGCATCCTAACAATTATAGGCGGCACCACCACCTTCATCAGCATCATCACCATCTTCATCATCGTCAGGATCACCATCGCCATCATCATCAGCATCAACATCAGCATCATCAACAGCACCAACACCATAATAACCATCAACATCCGCATCAGCAGCATCATCAACATCGTCATCACCTCCACCATCATCAACATCATCACAATCATCGCATCGCCATCATCACCATTGGTATCATGATCATGACCATCATCATTATTATCTGCAGCATCATCATCATTATCATCAGCATCATCACCGTTGTCATCACCATCACACACAACAGGCGACCCCTCCTCCTACTTCTGGTCTGGCGCCTCCTCATCCCCCTCCTCATCCTCCTCCTCATCCTCATCATCATCGTCGTCGTCATCATCACCATCCTGATCATCCTGGGCATGGACACGATCAGGATCGTGGTCATAACCATCACCATCACCATAAACGTCACCAGCACCATCACCATCATCACAACCATCATCATCGGCATCATCACAACCTTCGTCATAACCATCCTCGTCATCATCAGCATCATCAGTATCAGCATCATCAGCAGCATCATCATCATCATCATCATCAACATCATCATCAACATCATCATTATCAGCATCATCTTCATCATCATCCTCGTCATGAGCATCCACATGTCGTCATCACTACAATCGCATCTAGCATCATGAGCAGCAGCATACTCACAGCCAGCGATATCACCACCATCATCATCATTATCATCAGCATCATCATCACCATCATCAATGCCGTCAACATCATCAGCATCATCCTCACAAACAACAGGCGCCTCCTCCTTGTTCTCCTCTGACGCCTCCTCCTCATCATCATTACCAACCATCCTCATCATAATCATCATTATCCGCATGCGCATCATCATCAGCAGCATCACCATCATCATCACCACCACCATCATCATCATCATCATCATCATCATCATCATCATCGTCGTCGTCGTCGTCGTCGTCGTCGTCGTCGTCG